AATATGTAAACATATATAACACAGGTACACAATGTGTGCACATACAGTATGTAAACATATATAACACAGGTACACAATGTGTGCACATGTAATATGTAAGCATATATAACACAGGTACACAATGTGTGCACATATAGTATGTAAACATATATAACACATGTACACAATGTTGCACATACAGTATGTAAACATATATAACACAGGTACACAATGTGTGCACATGTAATATGTAAACATATATAACACAGGTACACAATGTGTGCACATACAGTATGTAAACATATATAACACAGGTACACAATGTGTGCACATACACTATGTAAACATATATAACACAGGTACACAATGTGTGCACCTACAGTATGTAAACATATATAACACAGGTACACAATGTGTGCACATGTAATATGTAAACATATATAACACAGGTACACAATGTGTGCACATACAGTATCTAAACATATATAACACAGGTACACAATGTGTGCACATACAGTATGTAAACATATATAACACAGGTACACAATGTGTGCACATACAGTATGTAAACATATATAACACAGGTACACAATGTGTGCACCTACAGTATGTAAACATATATAACACAGGTACACAATATGTGCACATACAATATGTAAACATATATAACACAGGTACACAATGTGTGCACCTACAGTATGTAAACATATATAACACAGGTACACAATGTGTGCACATACAATATGTAAACATATATAACACAGGTACACAATGTGTGCACATACAGTATGTAAACATATATAACACAGGTACACAATGTGTGCACATACAGTATCTAAACATATATAACACAGGTACACAATGTGTGCACATACAGTATGTAAACATATATAACACAGGTACACAATGTGTGCACATACAGCACACACATCCTAATGTGCTTGGGTAGAAGCAGAAGGATTAGATCATGAACCTTCTAGGAAGAATAAAATAATATCAAATGTTACCATTTGAACTATTTTTGTCTTTTTTCTCCATGCAGGCTTAAATGGTTATTTTAGATATGCCTCACAGATTCCATAGAGAGCCCCACAAAACACTGCCGAAGAAGATTTCAAAAGCAGAAAAAAAAATTGGGAAGAAAATCACATCCATAAACGTTTCAAGAGAAAAATAAAATAGCAAGGCATAGATACAGCCAAGAGGGAAGAACTCTGAAATGGGAACCGAGAGCCTGAAGGAAGAATGGAGGAGGGCACTGGAGGACGCAGAGTGCCCCACAGTCCAGGATCAGCAGAACTAACACTGTTTCAATGGCAAGGTTACTGAAACTGAAAGTGACTGATGGGTCGAGGCAACCCTGATGAAAACTTGATGCCAAAACTAGGGGAAATGCTCCCATTAACACACAAGGATGGGTGATTCCAAATAGCTCACACAATGCTGAGCAAAAGAAGAAATACTAAAGATAAACACGACCTATTCAAACTGTTCTGCAGAACTATATATTAACGAAATCAGCACAGCACTGGCACCAAAACAGGAGAGTGGAACAATGAAAGGGAATTGAAGGCCTGAAAATAAATCCATACAGTGACAAGCAGTTTGTTTCCAATAAAGATATCAAAAAGTACACATTACAGAAAAATCAGCCTTTTCGAACCTTGTGCTGAGAAAAACAGATATTAGCATGAACAAGAACGAGGCTAGGTCCCTTCTCTAGCCCTGTACAAAGTTATCCAAATGGAACAATAAGTTTAATGTAAGACTTAATGCTTCAAACCTGTCATGGGAAAACATTTCAAGACAGATTCTTGACAACTGCATGAAATAGAAGTGTTTCTGTTCAGCAAAGAAAGCAATCAACAGGGAGATAAGATACCTGACAGAATGAGAGAAAGTCCTGGATAGATATCTATTTAACACGGGATTAAAATCTAGAATATATAAACAATCCAACAAATTAATCCTCAAAAATAAACAAACAGATGAATCAAACAGAAAAGAAAGAGGTACTCATGTTTCAAATATTTTTAAAGGTAGATACAGAGTCCATCTCAGTCAAAACAACTATAATCCAGGACTTAAACAACCAACGCTGGTAAGAATATGAAGAAAGAACATTTATTCCTTGATGGTGGGAATTATGATATTTGCAGTCAATGTGTGAAGATAGTAATGAAAATTTCTCAAGCAGTTGAAGCCGGCATAACTCTTCTGGTATATGCCCCAAGTACTCTGTATCTAAATACCACAGAGATGCATGCATGATGTCCACATACTACAGGGATACATGAGCAACACATTCAATTATGGAACTAATCATCATAGCCAGGACATGAAACCAAATTAAATGCCAATCAACAGATGAACATTAAAAGAATACGTGGTACCTAAACACAATGAGGGTCACTGAGACACAGAAAACAGGATTATATTATCATCAGGAAAATGTGTGAAGTTGTATCTCATTGTGTTAAACAATATAAGCCAGACCCAGCAAGAAAAAATAGCAACTGTCCCCTTAAATATTGTATAGATATTGGATGGAGTATTATGTGATAGATTAGATAGATGATAGATAGATGTCTTATAGATAATAGATTGGTGTTGGCAGACAGATAGATAGATAATGATACAGATATATAGATTAAAACTATAAATATAGAGATAAATGGGTAAAGGCGATATGGAGAAGGATGACTACCAGGAGGAGGGAAGGGGAAAGGAAGGTTATAATATGTGATTATTTAACAATGTACAAAGACTTACATGTATGGAAACATGAAAACGAAAGACATCATTTTGTACATTATTTTTCAATGAAAACTGATGCAGCAGAATGGAAAACAGAACCTTATTTTAACTGCTCGTATTGCTATAGCTGTTTCAGACCTTCCAAGAGGACAGGATTCCAAAGTGACAGAGCAGAGTGACTTTAGGCACGTCTTCGTGGGCTACAACAAACTCTCTCTAATAGTTAATCAGTTCAATGTTCTAATTTAAGCCTTTTGTTCGAGGCTTGCCTGAAAAAAAAATAAACAACAAACAAACAATGTGTGGATTGAGACTGTAGATCAATGGGAGAATGTTGCCTAGGTTGTTCACGGCCCTGTGTTCAATCTCTGCCTTCATACACAAAGCATGTTATTTTTCTTTTATAGAGGAAGAGTCGTTCGTGACTGATGAGCTTGATTTTCTTATACACACTACACCATGTTATATGATTCAGGACTAAGAACAATATTATCTGCTGGGGCCTGGGTAGAGATTATGCCCTGAGCGCCCATAAAACACAATTTCTGCCACTATTAAAAAGACAAAGAACACAGATGAAACATAAACATTAGACAAGCTTTTAATGCTAATCTCTAAAACACAGTACTCCATATTACATTACCCTAGATTTATTGAAACTCATCTTAAACAATTGAATTTTTTATTTTTGGTTTTTGAAAAATAAGCAATATGAATACTGCTTGTCTAAATCCTCCTTGCTCTGTTCTGTGATAAACCATGAAAGATAATAAATATTTATTAATTTCAATGACAGGAAATAAATTTAGTCCTAGAAAAATCAATAAAAGTAACCCTTAGTAATTTCCTTAATATATCTAAGGTCATAAAAACTTAGTTCTAATAATTCATTTAAGCAATATAGTTTGAGTTGGAGACAAAAGTCACATGCTCCCAGACTGGAGGGATACTTGGCTGGAAGCCACCAGTTTTAGATGATATTTGTGTCTGTTACAGACATAATACTAGAGGAAAGAGGCCATGGCTTACTCATCAGTATTAGATTTTGTGGGGAGTGTGTTTTTTGCTATTTTAAGAAATTTGATGATGAACATAGAACAGTACAGTTTCATGTGCTTGTATTGTTTGGGATATAAATAATCCAATATTTTGAACCTAAAATTTTCACAAGTAGAACAGGAAAAATGTATGGAAAAAAGTTACTATGAAATTATACGTATTCTTCAACACACAATAAGAGCAAAGGTGATAAAAAGAAGCGTTGTAAATACAATTTCATGAATTTCTTACAGGACAATATGTTAATATATCATGAGATTACATAAACTAATAGATCTTTTATGCCCACAATCACAAGTAGTAATGCTAGAGTAAGGAGAATAAAAAATAGACAGGAACTGAGCTCATCTGCAGTACAACACAGTGCTCATGCTCTATCCCTGTTGCTCAAGCCATAGACCTTACCTGTACAGCCTTGCATGTCTAAGTCAGGCTGCTGTGCATAGCATACATCCTAACTGCAAACGACAAGGGGAGATGCTCCTTTAAGAGCACAGCTTTTCTCCAAAAGCGCTTTCAGGCTGTCTGAGTTTATTTACATATAGACCACACCAAGCTGTTTCTGTATAGATCAAAACAAAGTGGGGAGGAAGCCACTGAACCTCTGATGGTAATCGATTGTTGGAAAGTTTGTTAAGACAACTTTCAAATCAGTTGCTCTGAAACATGGAGGCACATTAAAATTCCTTAAGATATAAATAAAAAAGAACGAATGGAAGCCAATACAAAATGATCTAACTGACAAACTATGTGGCGAATTCCTTCAAGTTAGAATTTTTCACATACTGTAAAATGATTCTCATGGACTGAAAGAGATATACTTACTTTTAATGCACGTATTCTGTGATGATGTAGCTTAAGCCTCCAAAGAAGGCTCCTAGCTGTGCTGTTTATGAGAATGTAATGTAAATACTTGTTTTAAATTAATAATGACTCTTTTTTTCTATTTTTTGTTGTTGTAATGAAAACAATTAAAATTTCCTGATTATGAACCAAGCTTTTTGATAATAAACTATTGCTTTCTGACAGCCTTCCCTGTGTGGTCATGGGAACTGCAGACTGAACTACTCTTTACTGAGAGCTGCCTAATAACCATTCTGTGAATTGGTTGTCCTACATGGGCCCAGTGTGTTGAGTATACACAATGAAGTTTTAAAACCATACACTAATAGTCATCACTGCTAACACATGGAAAAAAAATGTACCTCGCTTTTTGTCCTCGAATCTGGAATCTTGGAAGCAATAGTCCTGGGTGGATGCAATGTCTGTGATGGATTTGATGGGAAGAGACTGAGAGGAGGAGGCTGATCACGGAAAACAGATGTCAAACAGAGTTGTACGGTCTCTTTCATTGCTTTCATCTGTGATTCCTGAGGGCAAAGGGAAATGAATATTTTTACCTATGGCTCTTGTTACCATTTCCCACATTGGTCTTATAATACACTCCCCCCATACAAATAGCGACAGGTTTTCAAATGAAATTTCTTGCTCTGCTTCAATATGATGCCTACAGTAGCTTCTCTACTTGAACACCTTGTGCCCAGCTTGTGGCAGAGTTAAGGCTGTGGAACCTAGGTGAGGGAATGGAACACTGGGTGACAGGCCTTAAGTTAAAATAGCATGAGCATCTTTCTGACCTTGTTTTTGATCTCTGATTTCTCTCTTGCTCTCTCTCCTTCTCCATCCTTTTAGCTCTTCCTACTTTCTTCATCTCCTTCTGGTACCTGATTTAGTGAGATTTGATCAAGCATCCCAAGCTACGGCCACTGCATCTGAGAGCCATTCCCACTACCATAGGATGACCCAGGAGTGTCTCAGGCATTGTCATGAAATATGAATGTGGTCCAATACATTGGTATTCATGGTGTCATTACACATTGTCAACAGTTTGGATACCCATGGAACCCTTCTAACCATGAACTAGACTATGTCCTTCCATCTTTAAGAGGCTTTCACCAGGTATTTGTTTGCATTGTTGAGAAAAATAACTAAGGCAGAGAATTGATTCCAAGATATGGGTCTCTTGCTGCTGTAGACCTGATCATGTTGTCTGTAAGTCTTTGGCTTACAAGAGGATATGGAACAGTTGGAAATGTCAGGTAAGACATTCTAAGAAACTGGAAACAGTATTTGGTAGGTGATTCTGGTGGGGATACAGAGGATCAATAGGCCACAGAGGGTGAGAGGGATTGTATCAGACATTGATTAAGAGGTTACATATCCTACATCCTGGCAAACTCTCTGACAATGAAATGAGCAGAGTGATGAATTAAAAAGCAGTGGACTGACTGGTTTGATGGAGAACATTTCAAGAGAGCATAACAATCAGGCTGCAGGATGTTGTTCATTGTGCTTAGTGAGGTTTATAATAGGTCTTCAAAGCAGAAACTGGAGCAGAAGGATGTGACATGTAAGTAGTTCACAGAGAAGACACATCTGAGTGCAGTTAAAGTGGGTGGTATGGAACAGATACCAATAAACTGTAGTTGATACCAATATTGGTAGAGTTAAGGTGTGATTGCATACTCTACATGAGGACAATCGGAAGGGACATTTAGGCTAAACCCTCACTCACAGAAGATTCTAGGGAGAACAGTGTAAAATCAGTTGAAAAGAGAGTGCCCCACACAGGGGATTTCCATGGCATCTTTTTAAGGCTGGAGAGATGGCTCAGCAGTTAGGAGTATACACTGTTCCTGTCCAGGACTGGAGCTTGGTTCCCAGCATCAGCACATCCAACTCTGTCTTCTGTCACACTGTGCTTATATATAAAATAAACTGACCCACCACACCTACACTCATAATTTAAAAGAAAAATCAATCTTAAAATGAAAGATGGCCATTGGCTTTGGACTTTTGAACAGTGATGGGTATAAATGTAGAGGTGAAAATCTATAATGGAAGGTTTCAATACTGAGAACCCACAGAAAGCAACATTATTTGCATGATTCTTTTTCTTTTGTTCTGTTCACACCATACATCTAACAGATTAGGTACATAAATCTCTAATTCAGAGCAATAACTCAACTCAGATGCTAAAACTAATGAACAGCCATGAAGTGGTGGTTTTAAATGCTCTGATATATTGTGAAAGACAATGCACATATATTGAATTTTGCTTTAAATTCGGTGTCACATGAGGCCCTGACCTCATCAGGAAATCTCCAGGTTAATTTAATCAACTCTCTTTCTTTAACCATTAAAGGGGTGTACAGAGCCATTTGTATTCTGCTTCAGGCTGTTCTTAACATCTTCCTTCCTGTGTTTCCTTCTTGGGACTGTAACCTGCACCAGGACCTCCTGTCATACGTTTCAGTACAGTTCTTGGTTGACAGTCTAGATAGATACTACCAGGGTCTATGGTGTGAGAATTGTCACCAGAATCAGTGTCTTGTTTTCCTACCACCCCAAGAGCATGCTTCCAACTGAACAAGTCTGTTTCTGATGCTGCCAATGCTGTATTCACACAGGCCCAGGGTCAGAATCAGTCACCATTATACTTCTAGGGCTGTCTATACTGGAACTTCAGCCGACTATTTCCTTTGAAGCTCACTACAACCAGACATTCTTTACTGATGTATGAGACAACATGTATAGCATGCTTTCCTCTGGATCTGAAGAACTAATCTTTTCTCAGTTAACTCTTGATTTACCCTTTCCCTCCTAGCCCCAAACTATATTTTCCATTTGTTTTTCCCTCCACACTTGAAGTGGTAAATTCTGTAGCTAAAATGCCCCCATCTTTCAGTATACCCCAGTTTTAGCTCAATTAATAATAGCTTTCTGGAAGCTCAGAATTGATTCATAGATCTTGAGATTCTTTTGATTATTTTGGTATAATAAACTCACACTTCATTCATTAGAAATAACATTGAGAACAAAGTTGGGGTGTGAAAACATTCTCATAGCATTTACATGATAGTTAAGATTATTTGAACATGAGACAAAATATATCTGAAAGGAGAACATGCACGAAGTATAAAAAAGTCTCATATAGAAACAATAGAGAGAGGTGAAGGACATTTACTTTAAATGGTAGTTCTTTCCCTTATAGATTGAGATAACCTTTCCACCTGAATTTAGAGCTAGTTTGTAAATTTCATATGCATCTTGCTTGATATTTGTTAAAATCAATGTCTAATAATGTAAAAAGATTTTTTATAGTTCTATGTACCAAAAAAGAGGTGACAGAATTATGAAGTTTAAAGACAAACTGCTCGTCATAGAAAAGCAATCTTATCTCACTTAATAATAATACTAACAGATAAACTTTCTGGCTATTTTCTACATGGCAGGCAGGATTCCTGTCGGACTAGTTATGTATATAAAAATTCAGTCATCCCTCAGCTCTCAGTGGTATGGCTATGAATTGTAGCACCAGGGAGATTTCAACACGGCCTGCCAACAAAAGCCATCAACTAAATACAGGAGGAGAGTTCCTAGAGACTCTCTGGCCACAGCTCTCAGACTAGAGCGTGCTGTGGCAGGCTATGGGCTCACTGCACAGTGGTGCACATGAAAGAGATGGATAGTGAAAGAAGCACATGGCACTACAGGTGAAGAAACAACTCTGTTAGCCCAAGTTCTGTCCCTGGGACATTTCCAACCAGTAGAGTGCGCTGTGGCTCTGGAATTTGGTGTTATCCACAAATACTTGCAATGCAAGATTAATTCTCTATTATTCTATTGTCTTGGGTCCAGAAAGTATTATTTTCTGATTGGTCCATTATATTTGATATCAGAACAAAGACCATGTCTCATACTTTTTTTTTATTCCTGTAATGTCCAACATAATAACATCTCACAATAGCTATTTTAAAATCCAATAACCATTATCAGTTAAGTAATTATATCATGTCAGATCAGGAAGACTATTTTAGAAAGAACAATTCAATGGCCAGAAATGATAGTCTTAGAAGTTGGGAGATTGCCTCAGGACCTTGAAGACTCAATGTCTTCTTAGGATTTAATACATTTTTCAAAGACAGTGGAAGCAAAGACAGAATATTTTTTTTTAAATGTGAGCTAGGAAAACTTAAGATTGTATGTTCCTCTTGGTTTTCTAATTCCATTAAATCTACAAAAATCCCATGTCCTTTGTAAAAAGTGACAGAGCAGTAGTTGGAAGAGATGAGTTGAATATCCCTGGAAAAACTTTGAAGTTAATTTTTTTTTATAAAACTAATTTTTGGTAAAATAAATTATGCCTGCTCTACCCCAAAGAATAGAAGTCAGGCTGCCCTTAACTATTAAATGTTAATAACTTGGATAAATTAATAAATGGTAATTCCAAAGGACTAAGAATAGTGAGATATCTACTTACTTCTCTGAATATTTAATTTGTCTCAGGCCTCCAAATCTTACAAAGGAACATCTTTAACATTCAGGATACGTTCTTCCTAATTTCTCTGTTATGGCACAGTCTACATACTCTGTCCGTCAGCTGTGAAGATGTTTCAATCATAACAGAACAAAGATATATGCCTATGAGAGACATAGTCACACTCCTAAGCAGCAAAATTTTAGCCTGGTCTTAAACTTACCATACAGTGCAAAGTGTACGGCACAGTATCAAAGCATCCATACAGTGTAGGGTTTCCTAAAATGTGAAACCTGAAGATCTTCAAAGGGAACCAATCCCACATGGTCTCTCTCCTACCTGATCCACAGTGAAATGCCCACAGTTCAATTCTGGTAATTAAGGGGCAGCCTCCTTTTTCTTTTCTTTTTTCCTTTCTTTTTTCTTTTTCTTTTTTTACAGATTCTCTGAGTGCATATAAGGAATTATTGAAAAAAAAGTTCACAAATGCACTGGTGTCCCTGTTCAATATTATCCATAAAATTATTACTAATTGTAGAAAGTTCTTTTCAGAAGGCACAACACTTTAGGTTTAGCCAAGATGACTTTGAGAATTACAAGGATATAAAAAAATATCATGAACAAGGTAAGCAGCAGTCTGAATTGAATATGGAAAGATGTCTTCATAACTACTTAACACATCTTTATGGTGCATAAATTACAGAGAGATAGACAAATATTTGTAATACAAATAAATACGGAGGCAGCATGTACCCAATGTCTACATATATATTGCATGCTTAACATACATGCGATATTTATGTACTAGCACAAACTAATACATTGCATCCATTCAATGAGTGGAGGGTGAAACACATACAGGCAAGTGTTCTTCAAGATCATCTACACTATATTTCTCAGAAAACAATTAAATTCTTAATTTTAATATTTGTTCTTTCACTTATTCTACCTCCATAAATACTTTAAATAGTTTTTTATTTGTTTGAACAATTATTATTTATAGACAAAATGTATTTTATTTGTGATTTTAATGTTTGGAATGGTATTCCAAAGTATGACTATACAATATATATGAAGTCCTATATTTTCGATTATTGACACCTGTAATATCCTTGTGCCAATTTCCAAGCTCTCGAACATGAGGACGAGTGCCAAGGCACAGGCATTTAAGACACACTTTTAACAACTCATGGTTACTTCCATTTTCTTTGTTTCTTCCAGAGTTATCAGAGAACAGCATGGTTTCTACATTAAGTATGTCTATCCACGGTGTTATGGAATAAATGTGCCAGTAAGATAAACAAATAATGGAATAACAAACCCACAGAGTTCACTCAATTGACTCTAGCAGAAAAAAAAATGAGAACAAGGAAGCCATCACACTAGGATTGCTCTGGACGACGGCAGGTAATGTGGGAGTGTCATATATCAATCTGTTGATTTCATTTGCTAAGTAATAAACAAACTGCTTGGGCTCATAGCTTAGAACATAGGTGGGTGGAGTAAACAGAACAGAATGCTGGGAGGAAGAGGAAGTGAGCTCAGAGATGCCATCCTCTCCTCTCCTGGGCAGACACACACAATAAAGCTCTGACCCAGGGTGAATGTAGGCTAGAATCTTCCCAGTAAGTGCACCTTTGGGTGCTACACACAGATGATTAGAAATGGACTAAATTAATATATGAGAATTAGCCTAGAAGAGAATGGGCCAAGCAGTGTTTAAATGAATACAGTTTGTGTGTTGTTATTTCAGGCATAAGCTAGCAGGCGGCCGGGGTGCTGGGGATGCAGCCCTGCCGCTCTTATCACTACATGCAGGCAGCAGCAAGCACACACTGTGTGGCTAAAAGCCGAGTCGTGATGGTTCCTGGATGGCAACTTACCCTGTCAAGAGCTGCTTTCTCAAGCTCATTTTTGGCGACAGCTAACTTCTTTTCCAGTTCGGTGAGCTGTTGGGCCTGTAACAGAGAGGGAAGGCAGCACATTTGAGAAAACACTATACTCGACATATTTGTTCTTCACGGAAAAAGAATGTATGCCTGTTAGTTGATTTAAATTTCAGATGAAAAGCACAAAGTTACAGAGCCATTTGATATGTGTGCAGAGAACGGTATGAGTCTCATGGGTCGAAACACCTTGTAAAACCTAACTCAATCTTTGTTATATTTGTTAGTTCTCTTATCAGAGATGCTTCTAGTCCTCGGGGACTTAATTCTATCTGCACAACTTCCTGTCTTGATGTCTGACTGTCCATTTGAGTTTTAACTTTTTATTTGGTGATAGAACAATTGAGACTATAATAAGGCTTGAAGTGCTCTTTTTTCCCCTCTCTCTCTTTATAATTATAAATACCAGTGTGAAGGCACCATCACAAAATAACCAGGACAGGAAATATATTCCTCAAACACTGAATCAAGGAGAACCTGAAAACGGTAGTCTAGCCTTGAGGACTGTGTGGACATGGTTTACATGAGCTGCCTAGTCTGCAAAATTTTGTTGTGCTATTCCAATGAGATTAAAGTAGCAACACTTGGTCTTTTACCTCATGTCTCTGGAACCTAGCAAGCCTCTTCATTTCTTCAAATGTCACAACAGGGCTCTTCAGGGAAAGTAACAGTGACTTCATATTTGAAAGATGTATTTTCACAAAAACACCAAGCTAACAGTCATAACATATATGCAGAGGACTGGGGAGTGGGAGTGGAAGTGTGTGTGTTTCTGACTCTTTTGCCTGATCTGGGAGCTGTTTCCTTCTTTTTGGGTTGCCTTGTCCAGCCTGGATATGAGGGCTTTTGCCTTTGCTTATTGTATCTTGTTTTGTTGTGTTTGGTTGTTTTCTCTTGGAAGCCTGATCTTTTCTGAAGGAAAAATGAAGAGAAGGGAGAATGGATCTGGAAGAGAGAAGAGGTAGTGACGGGGAGCAGAGAAGAGAGGAGGGGGGAGAAACTGTGATCATTATGTATTGTAGAAGTGAAGAGTCTATTTTCAATAAAAAGAAAAAACAAAAATGCACATTCTAATCTTGCCTTAGCTATGTGATCTTGAACAAAATAGTTGATGCTTCAAGCAAAAGGCAACAACAGGTTTCTGTCATAAACCATCACTTAATGAGGAACATGATGCTTGGAGAAGTTCATTACTAATAAACACATAATAGTTACACGACTTCAGTTTATAATTCTCTGAGTGTATTCCTTCAGTTTATGTTGATTTATATTAATAGCAAGAAAAATTAAATGTATTTATTTCAGTTGGTGTTAGTAATGCTGCCCTCTTATTCCTTATCAGGAATAATTCAATCATGCCTTAATATAAACAACAGTGACCTTGCAACGTATTTGAAAATGGATTGTGTGTACTGATTACATAATGAAGAAAAAATAAAGTCAAAGACAAAATGCTTCCCTATCTGTACATGTATATTAAGATTTAGTGACAGATGTTACTAAGAAAATAAGGTTAAAAGAGAAATATGGAATACAGAAATCTGCATTAATCTCTTCTTTTCATGGCTTAAGTCTCTGGACTGGAGAAACAACTTGGTGGTGAAGACTTAGTATTCTTTCATAGGACTGAAGTTATGTTGTGAGGTTGTTCACAACATCCCATACTTCTAGCTCCAGGGGAACACAATACTTGCTTCTTGCCTACATGGGAACCCACATTTGCTTGCATATACTCATGTACAGACACATACACATGCAGAGAATTTAAGAAAACAATTAAAATCTTTAAAAAAATTGAGAAAGCCATTCATGCTTTTGTCTCTGTGTCTTATGTTTCTTCCTATCAAGAGAGTGTTTATATTCTTGATTCTGATGAGATCTTGCAGTTCTAACTCCTTCCCTGGTCATTGAAATACAGAAAAGCACTTGAGAGAGACACAGCAAAATAAGCATTGGGTGGAGTGCCTCTCATTATGCCCTCATGGAGAATCCAAACTGAGATAAAAACTGAGCAAAAACAGGCCAGTGGAAATATAGCTACACATGTACCCAACCAACATCGCTGGCCTCCTTCCATACTACAGGTGCTTGTAATCTATCCATGAATGGCTGGTACTTTCTACCTTAGGGTGTAGGTGGTATCTCAGTACAGCCTATTGTTATAAACGAGAATCATCAAGACGAATCTTCTGATGGGCAGAAACCTGGCTATGAAAGAGGCAAATCATGAACTGGAAGCGTAAGACTTCCAATGCAAAAAATAAAAACTAAATCTGTTTACATAAAACACAATCAGTCAAGAGACGAGTACGAGGGACAGACGTAGTAGTGCTTTATCTGTATCTGTCACACAGTTATGTACTTTTAGAGCAGTAGGAAACAGGAATGCGCCACTTGCAGGTTTGCAGGACTGCACTTGAATGCAATGCCCTCCAGTCATCTGAATGGGTGTTATTATGTCCACTCTATGCAGACCTCCCTTTTTCTCCACCTGAGAGGAAATGCCAGCATTTGTAGATCATTGTCCAGCCTTGTCATCCTCATGGCACACGGACAACAGATCTGAGATGGAGGAAGGCAAATGCTTGATCAGTGGACATGGGGAAAAGAATCTGATGATTAGTTTAGTTCACTGAGCAATGTATTTAATCCCTATAAGCTCAAGTTTTTTTCTATATACAATAAAAGTATCTGTAAAATAATGGAAGAAATAAAAGCAACACAAAGTAACATACTGATACTTAATGAGAAAGGTACTTTGTTGACCTCCATTTATACATCGTGAAGGAGGAGTCAATATATTCTAGTATGCTTATTTCTGGACAAGAAAAATGAATTCCAATAAAATAGAGCATATGGTTCAGAAACTATTACTATTAGCCACCTTAAAGTTTTCTTTCTTTTTTTCTTTTTTCTTTTTTTTTCTTTTTTTTAAACCATTCCTGAGATCTTTCTGAGTATGAGCAAGCTTCATAAGTGGGAAGCTCACAAAGAGAATACTGATATGTTGTCCTGGTTTTTAAAAGAGCAGTTGTTAAGTCAATTCACACACTGTGTCTATACTATATACAAGAAAGTTCCGACAATAGCTACCACACAAGAAGACATGATAGTTAGGGTGCTGATCCAGAGAATACACTAGTTAATAAAGTTAACTTTATAAAGTTTACTTGAGAAAATATAATGCACTATAAATTAAAATATGACACCATTTCAGAAAACCCAGTGTTGAACTGAGGAATTTTCATTGTCATACAGTCATTTGCTAATACTTAGGACACGATTAATTCTTTCCAAGTCTGAAACAAAGAAGAGAGAAGAAAAACAGAAGAAAAAAAATCATGCACAATCAAAGATGCCTTATGAAATTTAAATAGCTAAACCAGAGTTGAGTGTTAGCAACAACTGATAGAGAGAAGACATCTCAGTGTGCCTGAGAGAGTCACGTAGATAGCAGCATAACCAAACCATCCATTTTCTCAAGGGCACACTTCTCTAGGATCTGCAAAACTGATGGTTGGAGAAAGATCTCATTTCCTGGATGAGGCTCTAATCCTATGTGGTCAGCTCTAAATACTTGCAAATAAGGGCAAAACTAACTGGACTGTGTGTGTGTGTGTGTGTGTGTGTGAGAGAGAGAGAGAGAGAGAGAGAGAGAGAGAGAGAGAGAGAGAAATAGAAGTAGTTGTGAAGATGAGATGGGGGCAAGGGAGGAGCTGGAGAAGTGAGAAAAAAGAATTACACAGAATGTGAAGACACTTTTTTTTTCCTGTATGAGCTCAAATAAAGAAAGAGAAGGAAGCAACAGTTTGGGAGCTGAAGTTGGTATCATTTCTTAATTCACTTTCTAAAACCATCCCTTCCAATCCCCCCAGAACGCTGAAGTTCCAGCTGACAGTATCCCTGAGAACAAGACCTTTACCCTAGAATTCTCATTGCTGTACTTTTTTCTTCTTCCTTTTTGTTCCTCCTCCTCCTCCTCCTCCTCATCCTCCTCCTCCTCTTCCTTCTTCCTCTTCCCCTTCCCCTTCCCCTTCCCCTCCCCTTCTTCTTCTTCTTCTTCTTCTTCTTCTTCTTCTTCTTCTTCTTCGTTAGTTTTTTTTAAGAATTCACCTTCACATCACTACACAATAAAGGAGAACAGCAATTTGGTGTCCCATGCATAAGCTGTGATTTTTCCTGCTGAGATTATTAAGGTTCAGCTGTGCACAAATGGACACATCTTATCTGATCGTTCATGGAACTGTTCTATAAAGCATTTGCACATGACTAAGTCTGTGAGGGATTAATCCATCACACCTTAATACATAAATCTACATTTCTGAAAATCTTGTTGGTAGGATTACTTCCATTCTGTTCTCCGGGTAACAGTAGTCTTGGTTCTGTCTTCTCTTAAAGGCTGCTCTGAAGTGTGCACAATGCAAAATGATTTATGTATTTTGTGATTTACTCTCTTTGCAGGGAATATAATTTTAACATTGAAGACTATAAAGTCCTAAACATACATTAGGCATGTTAGGTTTAGAGTAACCTGTGTGGTGTTATGTCTAGCGTGTGTAGTACGTAAAGGTCAGATTTAGGGGGGCAAATCAGAAAGAGGCACCACTGATAAAGGGGGTATCACTTCCATCCTTTTGTCTGGACTGCGCTGTGAAATTTGTTTCAGTAATTCTGGTAGCCAGTTTCTGGTACCAAGATCCTCATTAACGAAAGAGACACAAAACATTGAGAGCTAACCAAGTCATAGATCCTAGGGTAAACTTTTAATAAATGTTATAATTCTACACAGGAAATCTTTTTGTTGGTTTGGTTTTTTTTTTTGAAGCCAAGAAAATGAAATCTAAGTCTGTGTTTAATCTTAAACTAAAGATAAAATCTAGAATATATATTGTGAGTTTGAACATCATGAGTGTGTACATATGCTTGTATGTGTTTGTGTTTTGTGTGTGTGTCTCTGTAAATGTGCATGTGTTTTGTGTGTGTGTGTCTGTATATGTGTATATGTTTTGGGT